TTTTTTTTCATAATTAAACAGGTCTGAGTGTTGTAATTCTCAGCTATCTGCTGTCAATCTGATTTTGGACCCTGTGGCCCGAGTGCTCACCAGGACCAGAATCAGAGAACACATCTCGCCTGTTTTTAGGTCCTTACACTGGTTAATCGCACTGATTTTTTTTAACATACTCACACCGTATGAACCGGTGTGGCTCTTCAGGTCCTCTGGCACGAGTCTGTTCGTTGTTTCTGAGGCAGTTTCAGGGTTTTATGCTTTGAGAGGAACAGTCTGCCAAAGGACCTGAAAGCAGCTGAATGTGCGGAAATCTTTAAAAGCAAACCTGCCTCTACAGCCGGGCGACTGAATAAGTACAGTTTATAGACATTACTTGCTTTATTTCATTGTATTTATGCTGAAAATGTGTATTCAGTTCTATTTTCATGTCATATGATGACTTGTTTTATCTTTTTATGGCCTTATCCGTCACATGTGAGGCACAATGAACTACAACCTGTACAAAGAGCTGGAGGGATCCTCGACACTGTGCATATGCTGCACAGACATGTCAGCCGGATCAGTGACAAACATCAATGTAGGATTAAAAAAAATTAAAACGAGCAACAAACAAGAATTACAAGAATACATGGTCTGGATTTCAGCGTTTAAAACATGAATGCTTAAAGGTTTTTATGGAGCACTTTTTTTTCCCTTTAGTGGATCTCTGTGGCAATAATGTGCCAGCATAGGCAGGAAAACGAAGGCTTTGAGCATTGTGGCATAACGAGGGGGAGGAGCAACAAACCCCCAATTGAAACAGAAACTCAGGTGTTCATGGCTCCTTAAGGATATTAGTATCTGGAACTCCCAACTACTCAGTCAGACCTGATGAAGCCTCTTGGATGAGAGGCGTCTTCAAGGAACTCAAGCAGGTCCAGTTGCTACGATTAATCTACGAGAATAACCATGACCTGGATGACTGAGAAGCTTCACAGACACTTTGAGCGATGGAGATAAGCTATGCCAGAACTTTTGTTTGTTAACACGAGAACTCCAGAGAGTACCATTAAAGACTGAAGCTGCTCGTAATCACAGTGCTGGAAAAGTTCAGGACTGAAGTCAAAATGAGTCCATCCATCGTGTGGATGTGTCCTGACACCACAGAGGAGCTCAATGTGGAGGAAGTCATGTTGTTTTACAGTTTTATATAAAAAAAAGCAGTTGTATAGTTTGTTCTGACTGTCCAGCGATCTACTGCCGACTGGATTCAGTGAACTCATGTCTCCTGTGACACATACTCATGATGTTGTCAATTTTCATAGTGCTGCTGTAAAGCATCCCCAATCAAGAAAACTAAATGTAGTCATAGGTGCAATTTTTTCTACTGTGTGAAAGTATTATTCACTGTAAACTGTATACACATTGGTGTGTATGTTGTGATCTTTATACTTATTGTGAATGCTGTGAGTCACTTTTGCAACAGTCTTCTCCTCTTACTGTCTGTTTCTTTGCAAAAAAAAAAGCACCTTTATTTTGAATGAATATTGTGAAACTGTTTTATGACTTTTTTAAGAAATAAAAATGGAATTTGCATTTTGATAGCTTTAGATGTTGTATTTCAAAGGTGTTTGTTTCTGATGAATCTTGTTAAAAACCTTTATTGCTATATCACATACCATCATTCTCCCCTTCACGGTATGAAAAAAAAACAAGTGTGAAATATCACAAAAAGAGAACTGATGCCTTTCTTTCGTTGTAAATGTTTCTTGATTCCACGTACAACAGATCTTCTGAGGTTTCAGGAAAGATTTACAACTATGAAGAAAGGTTTTTAAGGAATCTAACAAAGGCCATCCTAACTCACGTTTAAGTCTTTAGTTTGGATTAATGTGTGTTTGTGATATTTTACAAGTTTCCGTGTGAATGACATTTTAAACAACATCAGAAAAGCAGGAGTTGGTCTGAACAAAGACACGATGCAAATTCATGCATCCTGCAGCTGCAGTGAGCCAGCGCCATTTGAAAACATTTTTGATTTTAAAGAACTTTTGACCCAAAGGTTTTCAAATGGATATTGATATTTTTACTGTGGATTAGTTTAAATTGTCTTGTTTTTTTTGTGTGACCAAGAATAAAACAACAAGAACATTTTGTTTTCACAAACTCCAATCATGTCCAAGTCTGCTAATCAGATTTATGGTTATAAAATAAATAAATAAAAAAATAAAATGGCGCACATGAACACAACGAACATAAAATTTCAGTCTCGAAACTTTTAAGCAAGAACGGGCTTCGATGCAACGTCTCACGTGTATTAATGGACTAACAGTACCATGAGGTTCTGCTGGAACCTTAACAGGAGGAATCTCTTGTCTCGCATAGTTCTTAACACTAATGTATGTAATGTAGGATGCCTGTATATAATATTGACACTTATGCCTGCAGCAGAAATGGCTGGAATGTCATCTGATCAAATAACACACAGGTCAAAGGCACAGTAGATTCTTCCACTAAAAACTCTGAGATTTTGTTTAAAATGTAAAGTGCATTATAAATAACATATACTATTATAATTATTATGTAAGCAAACACATGTAAAATGCATTTTAAAAAACGATTGTGTGAGGTGGTTCAGTACGAAACCAACAACTGAAAAACGCAGTTTTTCAAACCATTCAATGCTTCACTATGTAAGTAAATAACAGTAAAATAACACCCCAGGTTTCATTGCACTATAGTAAATAAACTTTTTTTAAAAAAAGATGAATTTGAACAAAGATTTAAAGAGAGAATAACTACAAACATTAAGACTCATGTATTTCCCTTTGACATTGTAGTTAGTAGTTTATGCTGTCATGGCGGGATGCTATTCCAGTTGTGTAAATAATTATTACTATATTATTAGGCTGCGTCAGCTTCGCTGTCGAACGGAGAGATACAGGAATTCCTTCCTGCCAACAGCCATCACCTTAAAAAACAAATCTGACTGACTGACAGTTGAGTGACTGAATGATTATTGTTGTTGTTGTGTGGATTACATGTTATATTGATTAAAAAAAACAAAAAAAGAGAGAAAGTGAGCTTTTACAAGATTGAATTTCCCTTCTGGGATAAATAAAGTATTTTTTCATTTTCATTTCATTTTCATTTCATTTCATTTCATTTTTCATTAAGACTGCCTTTATAATCACACAAACCTCGGTGTAAAAAAGCTGATAATCTAGTACGGAGGAGTCATTTTTTAAGAAACAGGTTGCACGTTTAAAAGCATGTTTAAAATAATTTTAGGACACACTTGAAACCAAAAAATATGTCTTTAAGTTTAGAAAAGGTCAGTTTAAAGTGGATATCATCACTATTTTAACTATTATTATTATTATTGTTAGGCGCTGTGCTGCAAAGCAATCGGCGGTGCAGCTTTAAGGGTTTCATCAAACTGTAGACACGACTGAAGAGGATCTTACACTGAATATTAGGAATGACTTAACCAATACCACTGCAGGTGATTTAAAATCATCAGTTTTGAAAAGATATCACAATGTGACACTCAACAGAAGTGATGAGAGACAACGTTGATTTCCTACATAATAAAATTATTTCAGCAAAGGATGAAAAGTCACGTTTTCCCTTCTGACGTGTCAGAGTTTAACTTAACGAGCGGCTGACGATACGTAACGACACATCTAACGAGGAATTTTAAAACAGATTAAACTGTTTTCACACCGCTCGTTGCTGTTTCAACCCTGATGTTTTTGATTTAGGTCATTATTTTCTTTTTTTTCTAACAAAAGTGTCTGTGACGATGAAAGGAAATCTAAACTGAGCAGAAATTCTAGTTTCGTTCAAAATGACTGAAATGAGAAAATTCTTCCAGCCATTTGAACATTCACTTAAAAACAAAACTCTGAGGTGAAGCTGAAAATGATCACAACCAGCTAAACAGGAACCTGACTACTGCTGTTGAACCGCAGCGTTTGTAGTTTGTGATATGACTTCATTAAATGCCAAGCTTCCTCCTCTGTTCCTGACGGCATTGCCTCGACCTCCAGCACTAGTGAGGAACATTGGAGTTACTAGGATATGCTCCTTAGCTCACACACAAAACAAGTCTCTATGGAGGTCGTCTTTCACCTGTTCAATATTGTCAAAATTAAGAACCTCCTGTATGAAAGTGATGCTAAAAAACTAGAGAAACTTGTTAAGTTTCTCTCCATAATCTCATAAAGTTTTGGCTTTCCTGTGCCACTTGGCCCGAGATACCAGATATCATGATTTAACACTAGAGTAAGAAAACTGATCTTCACTCGGGTCTTCACAGTAAAACTAATAATTATGAGAATAAACTATCTAAATGTCACTAAATGTGACATGCAATTCACCTGTTGTGTCATTTTGATGAGGATTAAAACTCACCTGTACAACAAACAACATGATTTAAAAATATCAACGGACTGGATAAACTTTACGTCATTAATGGGAAACAAGTGAAAATGAGGTTTGACAGCTATGTGCTAAATGGAAGCTTTTAATGTCCTACCATATCACCCTCTTCTTCCTCTTCTCTCTTGGGTTCCTGGGGCTCGTCGTCAGGATTAAAGTCTTCCATTTCAACCTAAAAAACCAAACGAGCATATGTTGGTTTAGCTCAGTTTGCAGATAATAAATTATCATATTCAGACAACTTTCAGGTGTTAAAGACCTCACCTCCTCTATAGCAGCATCCTGAAGCAGGGACCGGACATCCAAGCGGACCATGTGTCGAGGCGAAGGCTCCCAGTTGTTGGACATCTGCGTACAGAAGGTTCCATTAAGAAGTGTATGAACTTTAATAAACACGACTCTTATCACTAACAAGATTCTCAGTCCTCCAGATCACGGTTATTCCCGTAGATTAATCGTAGCAGCTGGACTTGCTCGAGTTCCTTGAAGACCCTAAGGAACCCCATTGTGTCAGGGGGAGCACTAACTACTCACATAACGAGGGGGAGAAGCAACAAACCCCCAATTGAAACAGAAACTCAGGGGTTAATGGCTCCTTAAGAATAAAGTATCTGGAACTCCCAACTAGTCAGTCAGACCTGATGAAGCCTCTTGGATGAAACGTCTTCAAGGAACTCAAGCAAGTCCAGTTGCTACGATTAATCTACGAGAATCACTAACAATCTGTATCTGATATCAGTTAACGGCTCTAACACACCTTCAGTATATCCTTTAGTGTGCGTCCATGGACATTCCTCTTTGCACAAGTCTGTGTGTCTGCCGTGATTTCAGCCAGATACACCTTGAAACAGGAGAAACAAAATCCTCTTGAGCAAAGTGCAGACGGAAGTTTTCTTTTTCTGACTCATTTGTGAACACGACTCACCTCAAAGCCTTTAGTTTTAGCTGCGCTCCAGAACTGATCAAAATGTTTAACCCTGTCATTAATAGTGTCTAAAATGATGAAGGGGAAAAAGCCGTCATCCAGAGTTTTCTTAAAAGTCTTGAGCATGCTGCTCCGGTAGGTATCCTCCATCTCTGGCTCATACTCGTATTCAAGGACCTGCAAAACAGGGTTTGTTTTTGCATCACATTGTTTATAGTGGTAATTACAACAGTAAGCATTGTTTAAAATGTTCACTATAATACTCTGCCAGTTGATGCTGCCTTTCATCTCTGAGACACTTACCTTGTTTTTGACCCTCCTGCCAGTGTCTGGGTCTTTCTCAACTTTCTCAACCTCCGTCATGAAATAGTCATCCAGAACAAGGACTCTTGGAGGTGCACCGCCACAATCAACTTCCTTGTCCTT